GCTCTTTGGCAAATAGAAAAAAAAAAAAAAAACTAAAAGCTCATTTTCCAATGCCTCTCCTTTTAAAACATATTTCTTTAATTTTATTTGTTATTATTATTTTAATTTTCTATAGGGCTTACCAGAAAGAGAGACAAAGAGAGAGAGAGAGAAAGTGAGAAAGCAAGCCACGAGGTCCAGGACTTGAACCACAGTCAGTTGTGTGAGAGTCCATGGCCTTAATCACTATGCCACCTGCTGGCTCCCCAACTCCCCTTTTTAAGTTGTCTCCTCCCTGGTTGTTAGCAACCTCGTGTTTTCATACCCCCAAACTTTCTGGGATTATGCTGCACACACTGACTTCTTGTTTTATTAGCATTCTGCGTGGCACTTGATTTTCACATTTCCGTACTCTTCCTAGTTCCTCAATCCACTTTCCATTTTCCAAGATTTTTTGAGGTCTCTGATCTGTTACTAGTTCCAGGAAGTCACACTGTGACTGAGAGGTGGTCACTTTATGCTTGAGAACAAATATCTGAATAGTTTGTTTAAAGGAAGCTATGACGGACCAGCAGAGAGTTTAATGGTTATGTCACTGGACTCCCACATAGTTAACTGTGGTTCAAGTCCCGGACCCAGGCACATGTGCCCAAGATTCCAAGAGGAGAATGAAAGAGAAGGAATTGCAGTATGGCCATCCTCCTGGGGGGTGATTTCTCACTTTCTGTTTCTCTGTCTCTCAGGCAAGCACATGTACCCTATAGCAAAAATCTTGCCAAAAAAAAAAGAGAATAAAATAATGCAGATCTTATAAAAAGTGACACATTTTATTATACAATATAAGAAGCCATGAGAGGTTTGGGTTTGGGACTGGGTCAACCTGAAACATCATAGGCATTGGAAGTACCCCATGATCCTGGCTGGCTGGAAGGCTAAGGAGGGAATCATGGTATGACAAGAACTTATCGAGGATACCTATTTCTCTCTCTCTCAATAAATATAACCAACTTTAAAAAGAGAGAAAGATTTATTAATGAGAAGATTGTGACTTTTTTTTTAAAAAAAGGAGCGCCTAGCCTGAGGGTGAGCAGAGATGCCCCTCTGGCCACCAGCTAGAGCCATGTGGGTGGGATATAGCATTGCAAAATGTGTGCCCTGCCGTTGATCGAAGAAAATTAAACTAGGGACCAGCTGTTAGCATAATGGCTATGCCTCTGGACTCCCATGTAGTCGACCACAGTTCGCGTCCCGGACCCAGTGGCTTAAAACTCACACCGGGCGTGTGTGCATGCATGCCCAAGATCCCAAGAGGAGAATGGAGGAGAAGGGATTGTGGCATGGCCATCCTCCTGGGGTGATTTCTCACTTTCTATCTCTCTGTCTCTCTGTCTGGCAAGCGCACATGCCCTATAGCAAAAACCTCTCAAAAAAAAAAAAAAAAGGAAAAGAAGAAGAAGAAACAGAATTAAATTAGATGCTGTGGCAACAAAAAATTATAAGCACTCATTCCAAGGGTCCAGAAAACAGAGTTGGAAAGGCACATTTGGATGTTACCCCAAAGTGAGGTGGTGGCTGAAACTTTAGGATGAGATGATATGCCGAAGGAGGTCAGAGAACTGCGCTAGGGATGGCGAATGCTGGAAGTTGCACTGCCGCTACCTTCGGAGAATGTACAGTCTCCTGAAATTGATGAGACAAGGCAAATTTCCAAAATAGAGAATAATAATAAAAAAAACAATATGTAATCAAGTCTTGTATGACACTGCACAAGTTTGTTGTTGTTTTGTTTTTTGTTTTTTAAGGAAAGGTAGTAAACATAAGGGTCATTGAGAGTCTATGGTAAAAGAGAGCTTTCTGTAAGAAGTGATAGCTGAGCCAATTTGGATGGAGGTGTTACATTTGTAGCTAAAAGCCAGAGGAAGAGAAGCTCAGGTAGAAAAACAAGAACAGAGACTTGAATGCGGGGGGTGACTGTGACATATTTATGGAATCCTAGAGAGCAGCTTGACTGTTGGGAAGTAATTCAATAAGTGGTTTTCTTAAATATGCTCTAGAATCTTGCATTATACATGTTGGGGAGGGGAGGGATTTAAAGCTGAGTGGGACCAGCTGCTCATGGCACAGCAGTAACGCAACGCTTCACAGTGCTGACCCACATGGGAAGGTCCCCAGTTTGCACCCAGGTCTCCTCTTACCTGCCAGGCACATGTGTGCATGCCCACAATCCAGGCTGGCTGAAGCTGGCAGTGGATTGTGGCTAGAAGACATTGCTGGGTGACTCTTCTCTGTCTCATGGAAGAAAAGGGTACTGAATGGTTATATCTGAAATTACTGAAAAGATTAGCAACTGTCAGGACTACTTAATTTTTGACATTGAAAAATGTAATACCCTCTCCCTTAATACTTTTTATTTTATTGATTAATAATTATTATTTCAGGGACCAGCAGTCGGTATAATGGCTACGTTGCTGGACTCCCATGTAGTTGACCATGACTCAAGTGCCAGGCCTGGTGGCTTAAACTCACATGAGGCACGTGTGTGTGCGTGCCCAAGATCCCGAGAGGAGAATGGGGGGGAAGGGATGTGGCATGGTCATCCCCCCTGGGGGGTGATCTCTCACTTTCTGTCTCTCTGTCTCTCTCTGTCTTTCTGGCAAGCACGCCTCGTGTCCTATAGCATAAACCTCTCCAAAATAATAATAATAATTAATATTTCAAATCATGAAAATAGTATTAAAGGGTACACTGAGACATTTTACTCCTATGTGTCCTCACAGATCCTATTTCCTTTTACCCCTACTAGGTAGCCACTTTTGATTTTTATTTTATTCTTTCTAGTTTTTTTTTATGCAAATACAAACATGAATATATCTTATTTCTTCCCCCTTTATCTGTTTTCTAGACTCGATATAACAAATTAGCACAAACAATGGCTTAAAAGCAACAGAAATTTATTCTCCATAGTTCGGGAGACTACAAGTCTGAAACCAGCGTCACCGTGACTGTGTTCATCTGAGACTGCAGTAGAAATTTTCCTTGTCTTTTCCTAGCTTCTGCTGGTGCCTGTCAATCTTGGTGTTCCTTAGATTACAACTGCTTCACTCCAGACTCTGCCTCTGACATCATACGGTGTCTCCCTGTGTGTCCTTGTCTTCACCTGGGGTTTTTCTCTTCTTGTAGGAATCCCAGTCATGGAACCAGCAGTTAGCGTAATGGCTATGTCGCTGGACTCCCATGTAGTCGACCATGGTTGGCGTCCCGGACCCGGTGGCTTAAAAACTCACACCGGGCGCGTGTGTGTGCATGCCCAAGATCCCAAGAGGAGAATGGAGGAGAAGGGATTGTGGCGTGTGCATCCTCCCTGGGGGGTGATTTTTCGCTTTCTGTCTCTCTGTCTGGCAAGCGCACGTGCCCTATAGCAAAAACCTCTCAAAAAAATTTTAAAACAAAAAAAAAAAAAAAAAAAAAAAAGAATCCTAGTCATACTGGATTAAGACCCACCCTGACAACCTCATCTTAACATAATGACATCTGCAAAGACTGTTTCCAAATAAGGATAGGACTTCAGCATATTTGGGGGGGGGGGCATAATTTAACCTGTAGCATCCCATTTCTTACACAAAGCTAGTACCCTAAATGCACTATTTTGTACCTCATTATTAAAATTGAATTCTGTATCTCAGGGTTCTTTCCGTATCAGTACACAGTGATTTTTCTCATTCTCTTTGTATAGCTGAATAGTGTTCAACTGTGTCTGTCCAATGGTTTATTGCATCAGTCTTCTGAATGGTAGACACTTGGAGTGTTTACAACCTTCTGTAACTTTAGCTAGTAACCTATACTTTTGTCTTTTTGTATGTGTGCAAGTGTATCTGTTACACAGACAGATACACTTGCACAGTGAAATCTTTGGGCCCAAGGATTAATGTATTTGTAATTTTGGTAGTACTGCCAGATTTCTTTGAAAGGGTTACAGTATCTCACATTCCCACTAGTGATGTATGAGGGTGGTCAAACTTTGAGATGTTTGCCAATCTGTTACATGAGAAATGGTATTTCCATTTAATTTTTTTTTTGAGAGGTTTTCACTATAGGGTGCGTGCTCTCGCCAGACAGACAGAGAGAGACAGAGAGATAGAAAGCGAGAAATCACCCCCCAGGGGGGATGGCCATGCCGCAATCCCTTCTCCATTCTCCTCTCGGGATCTGGGGCATGCACACACATGTGCCCGGCGTGAGTTTAAGCCACCGGGTCCAGGACTCGAACCGCAGTTGACTACGTGGGAGTCCAGCGACATAGCCATTACGCTAACTGCTGGTCCCTCCATTTAATTTTAATATCTATTGAATATTTCTCTTATTGTACACATTTTAAACAGTATTCTATATATTATTTTGTGTAAACGTTGGCCAAAAAAAAAAAAAAACTATGCTATATAGAATTAAATTAAATCTGTTTCTGTAACCTATAGAAATATATTTAACTTAGGTTGTTTGCCAGAGTTGGGCCATCCTGAGAGAATATGACCAATCCTTACATCAATGACTTCAGTATCAAAACAAATGAATTTTTATTTAGTTAGGTCAGCTACAGTTAAATAGGACGGACTGAGTATACTGAATCTACAAATCTTTATTGTCTCTCAGATTCTCTCTAAACGAGCTAAAGTTACACTTATTGAATGTATAGTAAGGGAAGCTGGGAATCACTGGAGGTGAAGCCAAGTTCTACACCAAAGACACTACTCTTCATGGTTGGCTGTACTGAGTTTCTCATTCACTTTCTCTATTGTATCATTTTTAACAGAAGACACTTTTTAACTTCCTAAGACAGGTGTCCAAATAGTTTGAATACCGCCAATTCTTCTCATTGTTACAATCAAATAACACCATAATAATGGATTGTGTAATGTTCTGACTCTAAGTTTGTTAAGTTTTCTTCTTAGGGACCATCTGTAGCCAACCATATTGTTAAGTCTCATATTTTAGTTGTGTCCAATGGCCTATTCCTTTCCCTGCAGGTGGTACTGTGAAGGCAAAGAGCTTGAAAATTCCCCAGACATTCACATCGTCCAGGCAGGAAATCTGCACTCGTTGACCATTGCTGAAGCCTTTGAAGAGGACACAGGACGGTATTCCTGCTTTGCTTCTAACATCTATGGGACAGATTCAACTTCTGCTGAGATTTATATAGAAGGTAAAGCAAAACACTGTCGGAGCAAGACACTTACTAGTAAGACATACAGTTATAATTTTAAAAATATAGTATAAAGGGTCTACTCTACCACGTACTCTTCTAGGCAGTAGGGAAGTAAATAGACAAAAATCCCTAAGATGATGTACTGATGAATTTACATTGTAGTGGGAAAGACAAAAAATAAATGAGAACGTACATAAAATGTATAATATGATAGGTAAATACAAACACTATGGAAGAAGTAGAGAACCAAAAAAGAGAGAAAAATTGTATGTAATGTATGTGTGTATAAGTTTGTGTGTGAGTGTGTGTTGACTGTAATTTTAGATAGGGTGGCCAGGGAAGATTTCATTAACCAGGTAAAAATCTGGAAGAAGTATGGGAGAAAGACACAAGGATATTCAAGGGAAAATCACTCTAGCGTAGAAATCATTTAGTGTGGTGATCCTGAGGAGGAAGTGTGATTGTCTCTTTTTGAAATTTTGCCAGAAGTCATTTGCACTAACTGGAGAGAGAGAAAAAAAGTAAGAAAATACCCCCCATGGGGAATGGCCATACTACAATCCCTTTTCTACTTCTTTCTTCTATCAGGATTTTGGACACACACACATGCACCCAGTGTTTTTCTCAAGTTGCTGGGTCTGGGACTTGAAGCACGGTCGCCTTTGTGGGATCCATCTGCCCTAACCACTGTGGCATGGGTTAGCCCAGGGAGCATGCTTGTCTTGATGTGCAGAGATGAACCAATATGGCCAGGGGTAGAGTGAACAGAAGAAACCATCAGGAGATGAGGTCAGAAGTTAAAGACTGGGTGGAGAGAGACAGGTGAGCTGATCAGAAAGTCCTTGTAGGTCATTGCCAGGACTTTGGTTTTAACTCTGAAGGAGATGAGAATATCTGGAGGATTCTTGGTAGAGACATGACTTGATCTGACTTTGTTTTTGTTTTTAGGTTTTTGCAATAGGGTACATGCTCTCACTGGAGAGAGAGAGACAGTGAGAGGGAAAGTGAGAAATCATCCCCTAGGAGAGATGGCCATGTTGCAATCCTTTCTCCTCCATATTTCTCCTAGGGTTTTGGGCATTCATGCATGCGCACCCAGCATGATTTTCAAGCCTGTGGGTCAGGGACTAAAACCATGGTCTACCATGTAGGAATCCAGAGCCTTGACCACCAAACCATCTGCTGGCACCTTGACTTTGTTTTTTAAGAGTTGCTCTGGCTGCTGATTGACTATTCTTCAGTGAATCAAAGGTAGAAACTTGAAGATCAGTTGAGAGCATTGGAAAGGCATTCACATCTGCACCAAACTTACATGACTAAGTTCGGGGGCTGGGGGAAAGTAATCTATATATTTTCTTACATATCTGCCTAAGTTTTTGTTTCTGTTTATCTCATCCTCTTAGTGTTTTCTGGGAACCATTCTTTTTGCCTGTAATGCCTTATATATGCCCTAATTTTAGCGCTTAGACATTGTATGATTATGGTTTAAATGCCCACTTGTTACCAACATTGTAAGAACAGGACTGTCTCATTCTTCTTTACATCTCTAATACCTTATCTACTACCAAGTACACAGTGAATATTTATTATTATTATTATTTATACATTCAATTGCTATACATCATTTAACTCGTGGGAAGAATTTACTCAACATGAAATACATCTCAGACCAGTTTGGTTGAGAATACTATACACATTATCATGAACAGGTAATAAACCATGTTTGTGTCTCACAAATGCCTTACTTCTCTATTTTCCCCCTAATTTCCTTCCCTATCCTCTCTCCCACCCTCCTTCCACACTGTCTCCAGTGTCCATAACTATTTGCAATGTTTTTATGCCTGCCAATCTTTCAGTCTCTTTCATAGAGTACTGACAGTCGGTATATGTTAAGTGGAGACATACAATGTCTCTCTTTCATAGCCTGATTGCTTCACTCAGCAATAAGTCTTCCATATTCATCTACATTCTATCAAATGCCAGGTTCTTGTTTTTTTTTTGTTTTTTTTTTTGTTTTTTTATGGCTGAAGAGTATTCCAGGGAGTACATAGTGAGTATTTAATAAACATTTGTTGCATAAACACATGAATAAAAATGTGTTATGTTTTTATCCTCAAATTTTCAGAGTGCAATAAATACCTCCAGATTTAGCTCTGTTATATCTTCCTGGAATTCACTATATTGAGAAGTAAACCCAGGGTCAAAGCTCTGCTAACAGTGCTGAGATTGAATTGCTGAGCTTTTTTCTTTGTGACAACAGGACTTCAAACACCCCCACTCCTAAAAGGAACTATGACTTGTTAATATTAGGACTGGACGGAAGAGCATCCACCTACACCTACAATGTTTGGAATACAGTGCAATCCTTTCTTTTATTTGGCCTTACAGGCCAAGAGCAAGAGACTTTATGAACACCGGAGAATGTCTACAAAAACTGCTCTGTTACTCCAAGGGCATCAACAGGTGTTTTACATACAAGAACACTTAGAAAATAGGCCAATTAATTTTAACTCCATCACTCACTCATTAGCCATGTGAACTTACCCATTCCTTCAACTTCTTAGGGTCTATTATTTTTAAGTTTATTTATGTATTTATTTAAATTTGAACAGAGAGAAAGAGAGAGGGAAGTGAGAAAGCAAGCTGGCAGGTCCAAGACTCAAACCACAGTTGGCCATGTGGGAGTCCAGAGCCCTTAACCACCACACCACCTGCTAGTCCCATCAATAAGTTTATTCTAAGTTTCTATAGGTTTTCAGATGCCTAGAAACAAATTTAAGAAGATTTCATCTTAGAAGTCTCATGTCTTGGCCCCAGCAGGTGGTGTGGTGGTTAAAGATGCTGGATTCCCACATAGCTAGCTGTGGTTCAAGTCCTGGACCTGGTGGCTTACTTTCTCCCTTTCCCTCTCTTTCTCTCTCTGTCTGATCAAACTAGAAAATAATAATAACAATAAAGTTAAATAAAATCACTCTTTTTTTTTTAAAAAAAAATCTCACATCTTGTTTTTATTTTCCCAGGAGTTTCTTCTTCTGACTCAGAAGGGGACCCTACCAAGGAAGAGATGAATCGGTAATTGTAATTTTCTATCTTGTAGGCTTAGCATCCTCAGATCCCCAAAGAAGCAACTAACTTGCTACTAGAACTTGAAGAGAGAGGGTAGCTTCAGGGTATGACCTTAAAACATTTTTTAAAAAAAGAGAAAGAGAGAATTTGGAGAAGACTTCTTTTACTTAAATCTTCCTAGCAGATTACTTGGCATATTTCTGATATTTAAAATATGAAATGTTATCTATGAAATCTGTACATACTTACAACTGAGTAAAAGCCAAATAACTCTGTGGTTCAAAATCAGTGATCTGGGCAGGTCATAACCTTTGTGCTGAATATTTGTATGAACTACTGAACAAAGTTGCATCCACTCCTTACTTTTCATGACCATTGGCTCATTGGCTAACCACTAGATACAGTGGATACTAAGTAAAATCACATGCTTCCTGGCTTCAAGGGGCTGACAAAGTATTAGAAATATGTAGCAAGTATAGCTAGAAATGTATACCAGATAAAAGTAACAAAGGTTATGGACTATGGTGACCATATATAGGGAGTATAGGAATTGACACAGAGGACTATTTACTGGTTGCGGAAGGTGAGAGAGAGATTAGAAAAGCTTCACAGAGCGACTAGCAGTTGGTGTAATGTCTATGTCACTGGACTCCCATGTAATCGACCCGGTGGTTTAAACTCACTCCAGGCACGTGTGCGTACGTGCCCAAGATCCCAAGAAGAGAATGGAGGAGAAGGGATTGCAGTGTGGCCATCCCCCCTGGGGGGTGATTTCTTGCCTTCTGTCTCTCTGTCTCTTTCTGTCTTTCTGGCAAGTACACGTACCCTATATCAAAAAAAAAAAAGCTTCACAGAGGTGGTAACCCTAAGCTGAGTTAAAAGAACAGCAGGTGGACACTCTTAAAAAAAAAAAAAAAAAAAAAAAAAAAAGGACTTTCTATAGGTTGTGTATGCTCACCGAGACAGAGAGAACGAGTGAGAAAGCACCCCCTAGAGGGAATGGCCATACCGCAGTCACTTCTCCATTCTCCGTCTGGAATTTTGATCATGCATGCACACGTGCTGACGGGTTTTTCAAGCCACTAGGCCGAGGACTCAACTGCAGTCCGCCACAGTTGCTGTGGGATCCGGCCACCTTAACCTGCATGCCATCTTCTGGCCCTAATGGGTATTATTTTTAAGGATTTTAGAGTCATCCAATTTTCATGTCTGTATTGCATTCTATTGTAAAGTTAACTTCTCCGCTGAAGTATGTTTCACACAATAAAATTGCTAGTTCTTCATTTTCTTGACCGATCAGCTTCACTTTACAGTTGACTGTCCGTCCTCTTAGAAAGTCTTGCTTTAAGTGGCTTTCGAGATGTCACTCTCACCTGGCTGTCCTTTTGCTTCCCTGGCCTCCCCTTCTCAGGCTTCTCTGCTGGTTCATCCTCATCTTCTTAATCTCTAAAGATGAGATCCCTAAAGCTCAGACAATGGCCTCCGTCCCTTCTCTTTCCAATCACTCGCGCCAAATAACTCTGTGGTTCAAAATCAGTGATCTGGGCAGGTCATAACCTTTGTGCTGAATATTTGTATGAACTACTGAACAAAGTTGCATCCACTCCTTACTTTTCATGACCATTGGCTCATTGGCTAACCACTAGATACAGTGGATACTAAGTAAAATCACATGCTTCCTGGCTTCAAGGGGCTGACAAAGTATTAGAAATATGTAGCAAGGATAGCTAGAAACTAGAAATGTATACCAGATAAAAGTAACAAAGGTTATGGACTATGGTGACCATATATAGGGAGTATAGGAATTGACACAGAGGACTATTTACTGGTTGCGGAAGGTGAGAGAGAGATTAGAAAAGCTTCACAGAGCGACTAGCAGTTGGTGTAATGTCTATGTCACTGGACTCCCATGTAATCGACCCGGTGGTTTAAACTCACTCTAGGCACGTGTGCGTACGTGCCCAAGATCCCAAGAAGAGAATGGAGGAGAAGGGATTGCAGTGTGGCCATCCCCCCTGGGGGGTGATTTCTTGCCTTCTGTCTCTCTGTCTCTTTCTGTCTTTCTGGCAAGTACACGTACCCTATATCAAAAAAAAAAAAGCTTCACAGAGGTGGTAACCCTAAGCTGAGTTAAAAGAACAGCAGGTGGACACTCTTAAAAAAAAAAAAAAAAAAAAAAAGAGGAAAGGGCATTCTGTCATGGATGGAAGGCATGAGAACTGGAAACAGACATAGCAAGCATTCCTTAAGATTACCAGAGTAAATGGCACTATTTAGAGGACTAGTTGAAGAACTGTTAACTGCATTGTATATCCTGAAATTGTCTTATTTTTCAAAATCTTTTTGGAAAATATAAATAATATTGAAATCATAATTCGAAATAATGATTTGCTTTTAGCTCTTATGCAGATATGAATTTTTATCGGTACAGTAAATGATTCCTCCTTATTATTGTCCTTGGTTCAATTCCTTTCTTTCTTTAATGCTCGTCACCTCCTTGGAGGGCTTCCTATCTTCTCCAGTCTTTTTCAGTGTCCAAACTACAACTAATTATTCTCTAAAAGATTGTCCCAATCCTATCATTTTCATGACTTAAAAAAGATGACTACAAAAATCAAGCACAAGACAACATCTTTTGAAAAACCTTAATGCAACATACATACAATGCCTGGGACTACCAGTCGGCATAATGGCTATGTCTGGATTCCCATGTAGTCGACTGTGGTTCGAGTCCCAGACCTGGTAACTTAAACTCACACCAGGAGCATGTGCGTGCTTGCCCAAGATCCTGAGAGGAGAATGGAGGAGAAGAGATTGCAGTGTGACCATCCCCCTGGGGGGTGATTTCTTCCTCTCTGTGGCTCTATCTCTCTCTGTCTTTCTGGTGAGCACATGTGCCCTATAGCAAAAACCTCAAAAAAAAAAAAAATAAAATAAAACATACAATGCCTTGTTCAGTAGGGTATCCACCCCACTTTTCTGCCCCCTTCTCTATTCCCCACCACTGGCTTTCTACACTGCTGGTGTCTTACTCCATGTACGATTCATTTTCATGAATGAAATGTTCCTTTGTTCAAGTTATTCACTTTGCTAGGAATGTTCTATCTTCTCTGTGCAGGCAAACGACTCTTATTTATCCTTCAAAACCAGTCTACATGTTCTTCCTCTTTGATTTCTATAACAAACTCCTCCTCTATTGTACTCTCATCACTCCTTCCTCAAGGCTCCTATGACAACATGGGAGGCCAGCAGGTACCGTAGTGGTTAATGTGTGGGACTCCCATGTGGTTGACTATGATTTGAGTCTTGGACCCCATGGCTTGAAAATCATGCCAGGTGCAGAATTGTGTGTACCCAAAATCATAAGAGAAGAATGGAAAAGGAACTGTGGTGTGGCCTTCCCCCATGGAGGGTGAGTTTTCACTTTTCCTCTCACTGTCCCTCTCTGGCAAGTGCACAAGCCCTATGGCAAAAACCTTTAAAAAAAATGGAATGGGTATAAATTTTTATATCCAAACTTAAATAAGTAAAGTAAGTCCTATTTATTTACTTTAAATCTACTTGGGGGGCTAGCAAGTGGTGTGGTGGTTAAAGGCGCTGAACTCCCACATGGCCGACTGCAGTTTGAGTCTCAGACCTGGTAGCTTTCTCTCTCTCTCTCTTTCTCTCTTACTGTCCCTCGCTGGTCAAATTTAAAAATAAATAAAGATAAATAAAATAATTATTTTTTACAAAAAAGCTACTTGGAATAGGTAGGATTTTAACTTTAGTTGTAAATAATGAAGATTCAAATTAACTGGGCTTAAATAAGGCAGATATGTATTCCTTATTTATGTAAAAGTCTGTATTGTCTGCTAAGATGACTTCACATTCCACTTGGTCCCAGTCTACTTCCAGCTTTCTGCTTCATCTCATATCAAGGTGTTGCCTTCGGCTTCTTAGTCTAAGGTAGAAGGAATAAAAGACACACCTGTCCACTTAAGGTCATCTCTCTTTTAAAATACATTACTATGGGGTCCAGCAGGCGCTACAGTGGTTAAGGGGCTCAGCTGCCACATGGCTGACTGCAGTTCCTGTTCTGGACCTGGCAACTTGAAAAATCGTGCTAGGTGCATGGTCACATGTGTGCAAGAGGAGCATGGAGGAGAAGAATTGCACCATGGCTATCCCCTCCTTGGGAGTGATTGCTCACTTTCTCTCTATCTCTCTCTGTCTCTCTCAGGTGAGCACATGCTCCCCATGACAAAAACCTAAAAATAAATAAATAAAATACATTATTTCTCCCTCATATCCCATGACCAGAAACTGTTCATGTGGCCACCCTGAACTACAGTGAAGACTGGGAAATGTCTTTATTTGGAGTAGCCAGGTAAAGAAATCAAGGATTCTATTACTATAGAAGAAAACAGATACTTCAGAGCACTGCCTCTCCACATAATTCTGCTTCTGAGAATCCATCCTGCCTCATTGGGAAAAAAACAAACAAACAAAAAAAAACTGGTCTGTCATGATTGGCTATCTCCTTCATGGCTATGCAAAGATTCCTGGGATATACCTGGAACAGTGTAAGAGCAAGCACCATTCTAAGCATCTTACAGAAATGACCTTGTTTCGGAATTATGACATAAGGTCGGCCTGGAGGCCTAGTGATCACAGGAGCTGGATCTCCCATGGCCGTCCACAGTTCGAATCCCAGTCCCGATGGCTTGAAAACCGGCCGGTCCATATCCATGGATGCCCCAAATCCCAACAGGATGGAAAAATGAAAGAGAAAGGACTGTGGCGTACCACGCCCCATGGGGTGGTGCTTTCTTCCTGTCTCTCTCTGTCTCTTTCTCTGGTGAGCACACATGCCCTCTGGCAATTAAAAACAAAAAGGAAAGAAAGAAATATGAGATAAGAATGATTGTATCCTAGATCCAATGTGGTAAGGCCTTGTGAAGGGCATCTTTTTCTTCTCAAAGAAAGAAACTTTCAAAAAAAAGAGTAGAATTACTATTTTCCCATTTTAGAGATGAAGAAGCTGAGGCAGAGAAAAGTAACATCCAGACCGAAATAATCTGCCTGACATCAGTCATCTATCCCCATCGGTCACGGATGAGCAGTCCAGATCTCAGACCTCATGGTCCCTGCAAGTCTAGTCCCCTCGCTTCCTGGCATGCTGAGATACTCACTTGGCGAGCCTGGGAGCTTTTACCCAGAGGGGCTGCCTTCCCTTCTGCTCTTAGGTTCTCCCTCTTGTCAAGGTCTCTGGTAAGATCCACAGACTTCTCTCCTTTGCACAATGAAATTAAAAGATTCTCTCCTTGAAAGCCGTCTCAAGAATACTCTCTGGCTCTCTTGCCCTTTAAATAATCTGTTAAACTTAACTTGTGTACACCTGAAGAGTTCGTTGACTTCACGATGTTTCTGCTTCTGCCATGTAAAAAATCCCACAAGTAAAGACTGACAAAGCCTGGCCTTTTACTTGAAAGGGGAATGGAAGGGAACATGCAGAAGGCAAAATGAAACAAACCTCACAGGCCGCTGTCATGTGAAATGCTTGTCCTGGATCTCAGTTATCCACGTGTCTGGCTGCCCAACTCCCTAGGCTGTAAACAACCAACCCAAGGACAGAAATGATGTCCTCTTCAATTTCATGTTTGCATTCCTTAACAAAATGTGTAGTAAAGAAGCCTTCCATGAACATATATACAGCATATTGTCAAAGAAAGATTTTTATTCCACCTGACGATAAGCAGTGTGTCATTACTATTTTCACTGAACAAATGTTCATAGTGATTGGTCTGCTTAATAATCTATATTTTAATCATTTCTTAGAATCCAGAAGCCAAATGAAGTGTCATCCCCTCCCACTACTTCTGCAGCCATTCCTCCAGCAGGACCCCAAGCCCAGCATTTGGTGGCCCAGCCCAGCGTGTCAACCATCCAGCAGGTACAAGGAAACACAAGTGCCGTGGACTGTGTCAGACAGGTGCCATGACCGTGCCGTCCCATGTGGCGCGACATGCTCTTGTCTGGTGCAACTCCATCATTGTGATAATCACTTCCTACTCGAGGTGGATGAGATCAGTGGTTCTTTTTTTTTTTTTTTTGGAGAGATTTTCACTGTAGGGCTCGTGCGCTCGCCAGACAGACAGAGAGAGACAGAGAGATAGAAAGCGAGAAATCACGCCCCAGGGGGGATGGCCACACTGCAATCCCTTCTCCTCCATTCTCCTCTCGGGATCTTGGGCATGCACGCACACGCGCCCGGCGTGCGTTTTAAGCCACCGGGGCCGGGACACGAACCGCGGTCGACTACGTGGGAGTCCAGCAACATAGCCACTACGCTAACTGCTGGTTCCCAGATCAGTGGTTCTTTTTTTTTTTTTTTGGAGAGATTTTCACTGTAGGGCTCGTGCGCTCGCCAGACAGACAGAGAGAGACAGAGAGATAGAAAGCGAGAAATCACGCCCCAGGGGGGATGGCCACACTGCAATCCCTTCTCCTCCATTCTCCTCTCGGGATCTTGGGCATGCACGCACACGCGCCCGGCGTGCGTTTTAAGCCACCGGGGCCGGGACACGAACCGCGGTCGACTACGTGGGAGTCCAGCAACATAGCCACTACGCTAACTGCTGGTTCCCAGATCAGTGGTTCTTATTGCATCGGGGGCATATTCTCCAGCTTCGCAGGCAAGTTTGTGAGGGGGAGAAAAAAACAAACCTCCTTACAAATTAGTCTCTGACCTTTCAGCTTTAAGGAGCACCGCTCACGCACACAGTGAGCTGTCGGCTGTCAGGCTGGCCCCGGGCAAACACTCTTTACCAAAACACTACGCCATCAATTCTGCTTTCAAAGATGGAGCAAGTAGAAAGTTATGTTTTAGAAAACAAGTAAATGTGCTCTCCTTTAAGTTAATGATGATAATACATGCTTATTATAAAACTTTCAAAAAGCATGGAAGTATATTAAGTAAAAACTTTAATCGAAGTATTATTCCCATGGCCCCACTCGTCCTGTTAGTAGTTTCTAGAAGATATTGCCAGATGTTTCTATATATACAGAAGAATATAGACATAGGCATATACTTTAAAACGCAGGAAATCATGGGCCAGCAGGGGGCGCAGTGGTTAAGGATGCTGGATTCCCACGTGGCTGACTGTGGTTCGAGTTCCAGGCCTGACAGCTTGCTTTCTCCCTTTCCTTTTCTCTCACTCTCCGTCTCTCTCTCTCTGGTCAAATTTAAAAAATAATGCCAATGAAATTAAATAAATAAGTTATTCTTTTAAAAAATGTAGGAAATCATATTATCTGAACATATTTGTAACCTATTATCATTACATCTGTTTATTAATGATATGTTCACATATTTAATAATACATTCAATATTTATTTATTTATTTAAATATTTGATCTACGAGCTTCTTTCAGAAAATTCAGAATTACTTGACCAGACTATAGTCCAACATTTGAGACAGTTGGATCCCATGTGGCCAACTGCATTGTTTGAGCCCTGGACCTGGAGCTTAAAAAACACATGTGTACGCCTACCCAAAATCCTGAAAGGAGAGAGATACGGAGGAGAAGGGATGCTAAGTGACTATCCCCTATGAGGGGTGCTTTTTCATTGCCCACCGCTAGTCAGTGCACTTGCCCTCTGGCAAATAAAAAATATTCAGAGTTACTTATCTAATATTTAACAATGCAGTTGGGTCAAATTTGAGTTCTAATCCACTGGTTTCCACACTGTGATATGTGTAGGCCCAGGAGTCCCATGGATCCTCTCCAGGGCTTAGGGTCAATAGGGATGGGGACAGGTGGCACGAATTTCACAGCCACCATGATCTGGAAAGAAGGTGATTAAATCAGTCTAAAATTTGAAATCTGTGATTCATAAACTTAGAAAGTATCAGTCTTTTGGTTTGAAATTAATTTCATATACTACTTTTTATAGATTTCTTATACCTCTCTGTCTACCTAAAAGTTTTAGTGACAATGAATCTATTGTTGGTTCTCTTTAACAGTGTCAGAGCCCTACCAATTATTTGCAAGGATTGGATGGAAAACCTATCATTGCAGCTCCTGTGTTTACAAAGGTAATCAAACTATTATTTCTTCCTATCGTGGCTTTAAATTAAAGACACCCTAGCACCCAAAGTTATAGGAGCCGAGGTTCACTGCCTTTATCCCAGGGGTTTATTCTCTTTAAGTACAGAATAGAATGGGAGAAGGGTTGATGGTCGTTACAGTATCACCTCAAGTTCGACTTCAAATAATGAATTTTGTAACAAGAGCGATGTCCTCCGACTCACCACACTGCTCTCTGTGGCCATCCTCTGGCTGTTGAACACAGCAGCCATACCCAGAGGTCAGGCGAGTCTCTAGCCATTTATTATGCCAAACGTCTCTAGACTTTCAGAAAAATCGGGTTGCAGGTACCTGTCTTCAGTGCTCAGGGTGGAATTAAAGGCTCATAAAAGGTTTAACAAAAAGTTTCTCTCTAGGACAAAGAGCTTTCTTTTTCTAGTCCATGGTATCAAATGTGGTGGCATCAGGTTCTAAATTTCAGAGGCTTCGTATTTAAAACTGGAACATTTCGTCAGGCACTTCCACTTGCAAATGGAGGAATGAGGAGAGGGCCAGAGAGATTAAGCAAATCAGCCAATGTCATCAACCAGTTAGTGGCAGATTCACGACTAAAAGCAAATTCTCCCAACTCGTAGTCTATCCTTTCCCTTACATAACATAAACTGTTTATATGTTGCCCGTTACAACGAGTTCAAAGGTGAAAAAAATTTAGTTGCATTGGACTTTTTGATACTGTGAAAACCAAGTAGGTGGTGTCTATACCTGGATTAACAGTTTATTGTTTGTATGAACATCAAATTTAGGCCTGAAGATGTTTTAACCCCTTAGAAATATGCTTTGATTTAGAGCAATGCTTATCGATCATGGTTAATTTTGTCCCCCAAGAGTCATCGACAGTGCCCGGAGACATTTTTGGTTGTCACAGCTGGGGGTTGTATTCCTGGCATCTGAGTATGCTGCAAAATATCCCGCGATGCCTAGGATAACAGCTTCCCATGATAAGGAATTATCCAGGCCAAAATGTCAATAGTGCTAAAGCTGAGAAACCTTGGTTTTGAGCAAAGTGGCAAAAATGATCTTTTCCAGTGAGTACTGATCCTTAAAAAGAAGAATTAAATCCACAACTTGCACAGAAGCACTCATTTCAGAAAAATTTTGCAACATCAACTACTCCAATGTTGGTCATCTCAGAGGTTAGTTTTAAGTAATCTAAAATGGCTTTCTAAAATTCAGCATGGGTCTGCAGAGTCACTTTACCCACGTCCATCTCCGTTAGGCAAGCATTCTTCAGTAAAACAAAATGCCTCTCAATTTTTCAAGTCCATTTCTTATAGCCTGCACTTGGGGTTTCAGCTGTTTTCAGCTGTATATTGATTTATTTACTTATTACTGTTTTCCAAGACAAAATCAAAAAGCAACAGGTTGTGACTTGATGGATCACACACTTTGAAATATGGATATGGACATATGGAAATATGGATACTAGTTCACTGTTCTGTTCATAGGACGATAATGCTTTTCGCGAATAGAGAAATTGTAAGAAGATCTATGTGTGTGCATAATCTAGATAAAAGAACGACTTCATGTTGTCTCTTATTGTCACTGAAAGTCATCGAGCCTTAAAACAAGAGTGTAAGTGCCACAAAAAAGTAAGATGCTTTGTTATATAGCCATTTGCCATACCTTAGAGACAGTGCTGACTCTTCGGAGGCAGCTAAACCACCAAAGAGTTTATCTATACTCACTTCCAGCTAAAGTACCTCTCCCCTCTCTCCCCTAACACCATCCGCCCAGCCAGATAGGGGACACCAAAACAGTGTCTTTATCTCCGCTCCACTCCAAGTCTTCCTAGGGGCTCTGCCTTTCCTGTCCTGCCTATCCCTGTCACCCAGAGCATGCCTCTGGTGCAACACTTGACAGCGATAAAGCTGTTTACCTGTCTGTACCTCCCAGTCACGTTGAAGGCTATCTTTAATATCTAGATCGGCATTCATAAAGATTAGGTCCAAAGTTACTGTTATTTTTTACAAAAGGAGAACATTTGTTCTTTACATTTAACGTTTTTCGTAGGCTGATTAAAGTCATCAGAGTTAACTGCTTTTGTGCAGTGACTCCACTACCTCCTTCAAATTAGGTGCTCTGATTGGCAGATGCATATGCCTTTGATAAATAAAAACGGAAGAATGAGTTCATCATTAGCATAGGTCATGTGTTGAAGAAGAGCTGTAGACGCATTAGCCCCATGGTGGAAAATGGTCCTTAGTCCACCGATCCAAACTCTGACGAGGCTTTCTCAGCCTCTGGATGTGTGCTTCTGTCTCCATAAATGGGATCAGGATTGTTCGGACAGAGGGCACTAGGTCAGGCTGTGGCTCAGATTCCTGAGCGACTTATCAGCAAGGGTGTGCTTGCGTTAGTTTCCGTCAGTGAGGGCAGGATTGAGGTCATAGTCACTGCTAGTGTCATTAGCAAATTTCTGAGTCAGAGCCACCAATGATGGTGTCACGTGGCTATGAGCCACGATAACAGATCATTTGCATAGGTTCGTTCGGGTTATTCCTGCTCTATTTATTTCTTTGGGTACGTCCAGCCCTTATGACTCATTTTCCTATACTGTCTAACAAACGTTTCTTTGCCAATCATGGCAAGAAGTCTTTTTTTTTTTTTTTTTTTTTTTGACAGTAACGATTAGTGAGCACAATTTAATGTAACTCTTTCCTTTTTTGGTATTAAAGAAATGTTTCTCTTCTTGTTGAAGAAGGTTAAAAAGGAAAAAGGAGAGTTGCCCAGCAAAACAGTGGTAGATTTTGGGAGAAGACTATGGGAAATATAGATATTAGTTCACTGTTCTGTTCATAGGACAATAATGCTTTTTGTGAATAGAGATAGACTATTCACCATCCTGTATACCACATCAAAAATACTTTCACTCTGTTTATGTGTGGAAAATAGCGCTCACACTTTTTGAGACGATGAAATTAGAATCTTACTCCTATCACGGCTCCCACTCCAACAGCAGCTGCTCTGGCGGGCTTTCAAGGCTGCAGCAGCCCTGGCCCCAGCTGCTTCAGCAGTAATTTGAAGAGTGCAAGGGGGCAGAAGTGAGAATTTGAAGGCGAGCACTTCATTATATAATAGCGGAGGCAGGAAACCCTGAAATAACTGAGCCGGTACCCGGATCTAGATTTCTGAAGACTTCATGGGTCCCTCCCCACCCCAACCCATCAATTCCAGAGGGTTTTTTTCCTGACTCAACTGTTGCATGGGACACCTGTGCTAATCAAGGGGCAAAGGGGCCGTCAATCAAACAGTTCTATGGTATAAACTACTGTGATCCAAATACAGCCCGAAGGACTGCACACTGTACCCTTGTAGCAGCTCCAAAGTACAAAAATATCAACAGGCTTAAAAAACAATGAATAAAATGACAAAATGAACTTTGTAGCTGATGTCTTTTAACCAATAATGAGGATGCTC